TCAGTCAAACTGAGACCTGGGAAAGACCTTAACCTAAAAAGGCCAAGGTTTCGTACTGCATCTGGGGTCATCCCTATTCACCTTGATCTATATCTTGCTACTGGACCCAGATGGCTTTGGAGGAAAAAGTGAGGCTGAGACTTTGCACAGTCCTCCCTCACTTAAATCCAATTTACTTGTAAGTCATGGCATCACCTTCCTGATGTTATGATCCTCTTAGAGAATAAAGGGCAAATAACAATATTACAATAAACAATAATTAAGCACTCAATATTTGCTGGGGATTGTGGATACAAAGAAAAAAAGATAGTCTTTGCCCTCAAAGCTTACAGTCTAATGGTAAAAGACAACACACAAAAGAAAGCTGAAAAGGAGGTGGAGAGAGAATGATACTCAAAAGAAGGCAAGGTAGAGAATCCAAAGAAGTCCAAAATGAGGGTATCTAGGTGGGCAATGAAATGTCTGGTACAATAATATTCCATTCAGTTAATATTATCATAAGATTTTTCAGCCATTGCCTAACTGACAGCTACCTACTTTGTTTCCAATTCTTTTTTAACATACACACAGACTCACACACACACACACACACACACACACACACACACACACACACAAATGGGTCCTTTCTTTTAGTTCTTTGGAGTATCTATGAAATGGTATGCACAATTTAGGGACTTTTAGGGTATAGTTCCAAATTACTTTCCAGAATGTTTGGATCAGTTCACAACTCCATCAAGAGTCAGTCCAATATTTATTAAGCACGTATTATGTGCCAAGTACTGTGCTAAGCACTGGAGATACAAAGAAAGGCAAAAATAAAATCCCTTAATTTGCCTGTCCACCCAAAGATCCTCCAACAATTATCTTTATCCTTTGCCAATTTGATAAGTATGAAGTAGAATTTCAGGATTGCTTTAATTTGTGTTTCTTATATTGATTTGGGTTATTTTTCAAATTGTTAATAATCAGCTTTTCTTTTGAGAAGTCTACATTCATATCCTCTGACCATTTATCTATTGGGGAATGGCTCTTGTTCTTATATATTTGCATCAACTCCCTAGATATATTTATTATCAAACTTTTGCCAGAGACTTTTGCTGAATTTTTTCCCCAGTTCATTGATTCCCTTTAAATTCTAAAAGCATTAATTTTGCTTGTGTAAAAAAATTTAATTTTATGTAATAAAAATGGTCCATTTTTTTCTTCTATGATTCTCTCTATCCTTTGTTTGGTCAAGGGATTGTCTTCAACTATAGTGGTAAAAGGTATCTCCTTCCCTGTTCAAATTTGTTTATGACGTATTTTGCATCTGATGTTACATATAGGGGGCAGCTAGGTGGAGCAGTGGGTGAAGCACCAGCCCTGAAGTCAGGAGGACCTGAGTTCAAATCCAGCCTCAGACCAAACACTTGACACTTACTAGCTGTGTGACCCTGGGCAAATCACTTAACCCCAACTGCCTAAGCAACCAAAAAAATAAAATAAAATAAAGTTACATATATAGGTTATTGCATGAGAATTGTTTTAAACCTGATTTCTTCCAAACTGTCTTCCAGTTTTCCCACTGGTTCTTGTTCCTTATTCAAGTGGTTGGAATTATTGAACACTATGCCACTGGGTACGGTTGCTTAAGAGTCTTGTGTACCTAATTTGTTTGACTAATCAACTTTTCTATTCTTTAATAAGCATCAAATAATTTTGATGATTACTACTTGGGACCATAGTTTGAGATCTGGTATTACTAGACTTCTTTCTTTTCCACCTTTTTAAAAATTGTTTACTTTGAAATTATTTATCTTTTGCTTCTCCAAAGAGAGTTTGGTGGGGTTTTTTTTTCTTCTAATTCCACACAATAACTTTCTGGAAACTGAAAATGTATCTGGATAATATTATCTGTCATTTTCATTCTATTGGCACAGCCCAATTATGAGCAATTAAGGTCTCCAATTATTTGTGTCTCTATTTCTGCAATGAGTATTTTGTAGTTGTGTTCCTGTAATTCCTGCACATGTAGAAATATTACTTTGGAAGTGTGTGATAAATAGTTGGAGAGGAGAGAGACTGAAAATTGGGGAGGATATATTGATAGTCTGGATGAGAAGAGGTAACCTGACCTGTTATAAGCTGAATTATGCTAACAATAGAATTGCTACTGTTGTTCAGTAGTTTAGTCTCGTCCAGCTCTTCATGACCCCATAGAGGATTTTCTTGGCAAAGATACTGGGATGATTTGTTATTTCCTTCTGTGGACTAAAGCAAACAGAGGCTAAATGACTTGACCAGGGTCACACAGTTAATGAGTATCTGAGGTCAAATTTGAACTCAGATCTTCCTGACTCTAGGCCCAGAGCTCTATCCACTGAACCAGAATAGACAGGTATAATCACAGAGAGGTTGTGGAGGAAGAATCAACAGGACTTGTTATCATATCCTTCATCTTCCGCTGAGAGCACATAGAGGAAAAATACTGAGATATAAGTATTTGGCATGGAAAAGAGAGTACTATTTTGTTAAAGCTCTGTTCAAGGAAGGATGGAAAACAAAGTAAAGAATAATGGAAGAAAGGAGCTTTCTTGGTTTCCTTCACAATTAGTTCTAACTTATTGGTACATTTTGAACGTAAATTCCAAATTGTCCATGTAGTTCTGCTTTATGACAATAAAAAATGCAATTACTATGGTTTCATTTTGGGCAATGTTTTGTTAAGATTTAATCTAACCAGGTGAGGAAAGAGAGATTTAACAAGAAGAGTGAAATGGAAATCTGGCCATTGTCCTGAATAATAACAATAATAGTTTGCATTTACATACCACTTGAAGATATGCATAACCAACACATTAGGAGGCGGTTATTATTTTCTCCATTTTACAGATAGAGAAAACTGAACCTGAGAAGTTAAGGGATCTAAGATCTCTCAGCTAGAAAATGTCTTTATTGGGATTTGAACTGAGATCTTCCTGACCCTGAGCCATGGCTTTGTTTGCCACACACCACCTCTCTATGATGAACTTGCTCTATGTAGACTGATAGTTTGGAAAATTCAAGCTTTCAAAAAAAAAAAACAAACCAACCTTTTTCCTAGCTTTGGTACTCCCTCCTTGGGAAAGTCACTTCCCCATTTGGGGCCTCAGTTTCCTCCTATGTAAAAGGAGGAGATTGGGAGATGGTCTCTGAGGGCTTTTCTAGCTCTGAAACCTAAGATCCAACAAGATACTCTGATTTGAATTATAAAAATAATGTCAACAAGTATCTTCTCCACTTTAAACCAAGTAGATATAATACGATGCAATACTGGACTATCTCTAATAAATTAGTTTCCATCAAGTTTAAAATATCTCCCAGAATGAAAGATATAATCTATATATATTTAAGTGGAAGCCATTGATATCGATATCCCCTCTATGACTAGGATTACATATTGCACTTACTCATTTTCTTCTACACCACAAGAATTGACATATATTTTGTTTTCTTTCTTAATCTTACAAAACACAGAGATAATAAAGAATCAGAGCGTCATTTGTTATGAAGGGAAAGTGTAGAGAGTGACAGGGTTAAAAAGGTGGCAAGAAGAACAGGGATATTTCCTTCATGGAAAGGTTTCTAGTTGGGGATGGATAATACTACACAGCCCGAAGGTCAAAAGTTGAAGTAGGGGGCAGCTAGGTGGCAGCTAGGTGGCGCAGTGGACAGAGCACCTAAAGTCAGGAGGACCTGAGTTCAAATCTAGCCTCAGACCAAACACTTGACATTTACTAACTGACCCTGGGCAAGTCACTTAACCCCAATTGCCTTAAAAAAAAAGTTGAAGTGGGTGAAGATGTTGACTGGATTATCTCAGGTAAGAAAGAAGGAAATATCATAAAGGAGAAGTTCAGGAGTTGAAAGTAACGTGAACTTTGTTTCAAGGATTTTTTTTTAACCAAACCTGAGATTTCATTGATATAGAGGATGCTCAGTGAAGAACATCCCTCCACGAATGCAAATCACCACCGGCTCTGAAACTTATATATTCTCTTAGAAAGTTGACTAGTACACTGAGAGGGTAAATGGCTTCCCCTAGAGTACATAGCTAGTATGTGTCAAAGGCATGATTTTGAAAGTGGGGAAGGGAATAACCTTTTATATAACAGTACCCAGGCTCTGTACTAAGCACTTTACAAATATTATTTGATCCTCACAACAATCCTGCAAGGTAGATGTTGTTATTATGCTCACTGTGCAGATGAAGAAACTGAGGCTAACAGAGGTTGTGCCTTGGCTAAGGCCACATAGCTAGTAAGTGTTTGAGGCTGGATTTGAACTCCTATCTTGTTGACTCTAGGCCCAGCACTGTGCCACCTAACTGCCATAATTTAGGCCCACATTTTCCTCAGAGATCAGCTCTCTTTTCTCAGAGGAAATTGCCTCTTCAGAAGCACAAAAAGTTGGTGGTGAGTACCTTTGGGGAAAAAAAAACCCAATATTTAGACAAATAAGGTACTCAGCCTAGACTTAGAAGTTATGCACGGGTTATGTGGCAACTTCTGTTCCAAGCATTATTCCAGTACTCATTTAGAAAATAGAGGAGTTTTTCCATGAAAATTACCAGAAGCATGAATTATTTAGCCAACATAAACAAGTCATTGCACAGGTCTATGCTCTAGACCCTTAATTTGCGTTGTTCTTATTCCAGTGGAGGAGAGGGAAAGAAAAAATATTTAAATGAAATTTTCCCTGTTTCATCTCTGTGATGCTTCTGTTTTCCTTTCCAAATCCTTTAGAGGAAGTTTGTGGTAGCCGTAAATGAAAACTGGCTCACACTCTGTCTGTAGTGTGAGCTGCTTGTCTGTGCAATTGTCAGCTTGCCTGTGAGACGACATGAGAGAAGATAAGTTATATGTTACGGCAGCGCTGTGAGAGGTTGGGAGGTTGGGGGGAGGCGGGGGGGGGGGGGGAGGAATGCTACAGCCTGTCCAATGATTAGCAGGAAATAGGCTTGCTTGCCAGGACTCGGCATTAAGATTTTGGCTTTCACTTTGCTAATTCCCTAAAGGGTAGCCTCCCCCACTTCCCTTTCCCCCAAAAAGGACAATATCAAAAGAAAAATACTCGAGAAGCTAATCTGGAAAGGAAAAGCGGATCCTGGGAGTTCAGAGTTGCTCCGACCTACGGAACAACAGCTTGCAGATGCAAACGGGGAGCCAGGGAAAAATAGGCTGGGCTCAAGCAACCTGCTACTGGGATTTAGACAAAGAAGGCTTGAGAGAGGCAGAGGAAAGAGGAGGGAACGGTTCCTAATGTCAGCTCGGGGAGGGAAACAGCAGCCAGGCTCGGTGAATGAGATGGAAAGTGAACACTCCGCGTCCTCCTGGGCAGAAGAGGCAGCTGTTCCGAACAAAATACCAACTCAGGTGGAAAAGTAAGTTTGGAGCAAGCACTTCATGATTCTGACTGTCTTTGAAACATGCCTTCGTTGATGCATTATCTTTTTGTAGTTCCTATTTTTACTGTAGTTATTTTTATTCTGTTCTACATGTTTAATTTATATAACGATCAAAGCCTTCAGAGGCTAAATATAACAAACACTTTGGTTCTAGCCAAAGTCTGCAATTCATTTATCAACGGGAAAACATCTTTCCTATGGGAAAACACGCTAACAGTATCTGGGAAATCTTGCAAGGAATACTTGCTCCAAAGTCACTACATAACAACCACTCTTTCAGAAGAGGAGGCTGAATTTCCTTTGGCCTATGCAATGGTCATACATAAGGATTTTGAAACCTTTGAGAGACTCTTCAGGGCAGTTTACATGCCTCAAAACGTTTACTGTGTTCATGTGGATGAAAAGGCAACAACTGAGTTTAAAGATGCTGTGGGGAAATTGGTGGGCTGTTTCCCCAATGTTTTCCTTGCCTCCAAGATAGAGCCAATAGTCTATGGTGGAATATCCAGGCTCCAGGCTGACCTGAACTGCATGAAAGACCTTGTGGCCTCTAAGGTTCAGTGGAAGTACCTCATCAACACTTGTGGACAAGATTTTCCCCTGAAAACTAACAAGGAAATAATCCAGCATTTGAAAGGATTTAAAGGGAAAAATATCACCCCAGGGGTGCTGCCTCCTGCACATGCTATTGAAAGGACAAAATACATCCATAGAGAGCATCTGAGTTCAGAGGCATCTTATGTAATAAACACCCAAGCATTAAAAACCCCACCTCCCCACAATCTGACGATTTACTTTGGCTCTGCTTATGTTGCCCTTACAAAGGAGTTCATCAATTTTGTTCTCCATGATCAAAGGGCCATTGATTTAATGCAATGGTCTAAAGACACCTACAGTCCTGATGAGCATTTCTGGGTGACACTCAATAGGATTCCAGGTATGTATATCTATTTCATTCCTGCTAACAAGATAAAGTATGCTAAAAAGATCTTTTGAAGAACTGATTTTTTCCCCTCCTGTCAGAAATAGAACATAAATCTCATTTCATTCAGATTCCAGACTAATATTTCATAAGCATAATTTGAAATAATGGTCTTTGTGCTAGAAGACTGTAAAACTTGCAGAATTCTACCAAATACTGGAAAGTGATGTTCAGAGAAACCATTCTGGACTGAATTCTGGACCTATATCCTCAGCAGAGCTCCTTGAATCAAGGAAATGACACTTTTCATTTGAAATAGCAGGCTTCTGGGAGTTTCCTACAAATCACTTTCCCCTTCTCCCAATCAAAGAGATTTGCTATTTGAAGAAAGGAGCTTATTCAGAAAGAAGTCAACTGAACCAGACAACTTTGGTAACAGTAAGAAAAAACTGACCTTTGTTTAGGTCAATGGGAGGCTATAATACAGGAAAGGAGGGAAGAGGAAAAGAATGTTTATATAGTGCGTAATATGTGCTAAGGCACTGTACTAGATACTTTTGCAAATATTATATCTCATTTGATTCTCACAACAACACTGTGAGGTAGGTGCTATAATTATTCCCATTTTACAGTTAAGGAAATAGAGGTTAAGTGACTTGGTCAAGGTCACACAGCTTATAAGCTTCTGAGGATGGATTTGAATTCAAGTCTTCTTGACTTTAGGCCCATCACTTTATCAACTGCACCACTTGGAAGAGCTCATAATTGTATTTAAGATGTGATATAGAGCCTTAAATGTTCTGTTTGACTGCTCTCACTAGAAAACAAGATATTGGATTCCAAAATCTGAGTTAGTTCACAGGGTGTTCTGTACTTGTTTGGCTTTTTAAAATGTCCTTTTGATGCTTTTTTTGAACACAGTAATGCACCACTTACCAAACACACTCAGCTTCTCTTATAACAACAACAAATATTAAGCAAAGCCATTCCATCCAATGGCTATAGCTGACAGTGTACATATGTATATATGTAACATTCCAAACTATTGTCTATCTATCTTTCATCTTTGGAAAGAAAAGTATGATTTAGCAGCAGTCATCTGAACCAAGTTGGTTATCACTTCCAATCTGAATCTATTAGGCTTTTTGATTGAATACAGTTGTCTTGTCTATAACGTTATCTGGGACTTGCTTGTAAACTGTTGCTCCTGATTCAGTCCCTTCGCTTCCCATTCATCTGTCATCCCCCTCTCCTTGTTTGTTATCTCCACTTTATCCTGTATGTTTTATATTTGCAAATGGTTGTTTGCTTATTGTCTCCTCCATTAGATTTTGAGTTGCTAGAAAACAGGAACTATTCTTTATTTGTTTTGGGTTTTTTTTTTATGCCAACACAGTACAGTGCCTAGCATATAGTAAGTGATTAATAAATGCTTAGTGACTTGACTTTTCAGCTTTTTTTATTATGTTAAATATTTGCAGGTACTTTTGCCAAAAAGGATAGAGCTTATCCAGCTGATAGAATTTCAATTCAAAAAGACAAACATTTATTATGCATCTAAATTATGCAAGATTCTATAGAAAAGCCAAATGAAAAAATAACCACCAGTGAGCACCCCCAGTTTTATGTATGTCCCTCCTCAAATTCCGTATCAAGTTACATACGCATTGATCTCCAACCACAAGTGTCCCTGTTCTCTTTTACACTTGGCCAGTAGATAGATGACAACATCTTTCTGTAGGATTTAAGCCAGCTCAGGCACAGTTCCAAGTCTGCCCTTTATTAACAGAATATCTTTAATCATAACAGTTCTTCTATTTTTAATGTCAGGCTTTATAGAGAATAATTGTTTCTGCAAACGTACTCACTCACTGTATGCTAAATGTCTATCCTGTAAACCTGTTATTACCACAGTGTTCTCCCTTTCTTTCTTCCCTCAGAGGCCAAAAAACCCAGTTAATGTCAGAGAGTTCATTGGCATTCCACCTCTCCCAAAATAATCATCACATGAATTTAATAATGCCCCCCACCCCCGACTGCAATGGGAGAAAAGTTTGGTGTTCATTTTTTTAAATGGTGTAAGAAAGTAAACCGAAAGAAATTGAAATAAAAAACAAACAAATGGATATGGTTGTTATAGAACAAAACTGTTGATTGCATACATCTTGTTCTTTCATTGTATTTGTGTACAGTTTAAGCTGCTTTTTATTAGTTTGTGTCCTTAAGGACTAGACTGTCTTCTCCAGCATCAGAGAGCATGCATTCCGGAGCAGGCAGAAAAATGTCCACTTGTCCATGGCCAACCTGACTTATACTTAGATAAAATCAGCAAGCATTTATTAAATGCCTGCTATGTGCCAGGGATTGTGCTAAATGATAGAAAGAATCACTCCTCTGCTAGTTTCTTATCCTTTGGCTTCTTGCAGTTCTTCTAGAAAGATGCAGGGACTTGTTAGAGAAGGGGGGGAGGAGCCAATGGTAGATGCCATGGCAACACACCCACACACACGAGAAGCTTAAACAGAGCAACCATGTGCTGTCTTACTTAGTATGTTTATGAAGATGGAAGAAAACAGGACAGCTTGCTTTATTCTCTTCTTTACCAAACCTCTAAACAATTTCATAGGGAATTATGTGGGGTTGTTTTCTGGTTCGAGGGTCAGAGATTCAGACTTTAATAGAAAGATGGAATCTCAGAGTGAGAAGGTACTCTGGGGTCATCTTATGTAACCTAAACCTGAAACTGAATCCCTTTGATAAACTTCGGGTATTCATCTGATCTCTGCTTGAACACCTCTCCTGAGGCAGACAGAACCCACTACTTCCCAAATAGTCCATTACATTTTGAACAGCCTTGCTTGTTCTTCCTTTCATTAAGCCTGAAATCTCCCTCTCTACAACTTCTGCCCATTGCTGTAGATCTGGGTTCTGGGTTCTGTGAAAAATGAACTCAAGCTCTCTTCCACATGGTAGCCTTTGATGACAGATATGTCTTTGTCTTCTATACCTCCCTCCCAATTCTTTTGTTTTACAAGCCAAATGGACTCATTTCCTTAAAATGATCATAATAGAATAAGAGTTAACATATATATAATACATATATATAGTATTTTTTAAGCTTACAAAGCACTTCATATATATTATCTCCTTAAAACCATCCTGTAAAGTAGGTGCTATTATTATTTTCATTTTAACAGATGAGGAAACTGCGGTTGATGGGAGTTAAGTGATTTACACAGGGTCAAACAAGAAGGAAAAAAGCATTTATTAGCTCTTGCTATGTTACGGACATTGTGCTCAGTCCTTTACAAATATCTCATTTGATCCAGAGAGTCACAGAGGTTTTGCAACCAAAACAGGTTAAAAACAAAAAACTTTCTTGATCCCATTGTGGGAGAGAAATTGGACCCATGTGTCAGGGCCTCCTCTTAGTAGAAGACCCAAAAAGTAGGGTTAAACCTTGATTTATATATTTGTGGTTAGATAAAGAATCAAACAGTGCAGTATAGCAACAGTAGTGAGGCACAACAGTAACCATGAGGCAAGGTTATCTAGTGACAAAAAGTCCATTCATCACAGGGCTTCATGTCTGGGCCTGTTAGTGCTTGTCCAATCTCAGAGACCATCACTTCTGGGATTTAGTTGTAGCAGTGTTCATCCGGTGGGTAAGCGCAAGGGATTGTTGTTATGCCACACTCAGGACACAGCTTGCTTGCTGGGCCTTCACTCTGGAAAACAAGGCGTCTTCTAATAGTGAAAAAGAGAGGGGTGATTTTGGATCCTGACAATCCTTACAACAGCTCTGGAAGGCAGGTGCTATTATTCCCTTTTTACAATTAAGGAAATTGAGGCAAACAGAAGTTAGGTGACTTGCCCAGGGTCAGACAGCTAATAAGTGTTGGAGGTCTTATTTGAACTCAAATCTTCTTAACTCTGAGTCCAGTGCTTTATCCACGACACCATTGAACTGCCTAGAGTCCAGGTCATATAGCATAGTTTTCAATCCCCTTACCCATTCTGTTCAATGTTCTTTGGATATATTTTAGCTCATAATTGATAAATGGTTGAAGGCAGTTCTCAAGTAAACTCATGCTACCTATAGCCATATGAATTTCCTTTTTAAAATGAGGTACTGGGGAAGGTAGGTGGCACAGTGGATAGAGCACTGGCCCTTAAGTCAGGAGGTCCTGAGTTCAAATCTGGCCTCAGACCAAACACTTGACACTTACCAGCTGTGTGACCCTGTGCAAGTCACTTAACCCCAATTGCCTAAAAATAATAAATAAAAAAAAAGAAAGAAAATTTATAAAATGAGGTACCTCTAGCTGAAAATAATACTTTATATATGGGCCATCTGGGTCAGAGTACACCATGACCATCATCTTCTTCACTATGAATGCTATGCTTCTATTTATTCAATCTAAAGATTATTCTATTAATAAGGTTAAGAGTAGTCTGCACTCCCTGACTTCCTTTACTTACCCTTCACTTCATTACCTCTTGTCATCTGTTCACCCTTCTACTAAAACAGCTCTTTTTAAGGTCACCAACGACTGTCTTAATTGCTAAATTCAGTGGCCTTTTCTTAGTACTTGTCCTTAACCTTTCTGGAACATTTTGCCAGATCCTGTTGGTCAAAAACAAAACCCAAAACCTAAAAATTTTTTTAAAATTTCAAGATAGAATTTTATTAAGTCATTTGGCAGAGGAGAGAGGTGGGAAAAAAAGGCATGGCTCCCTCTCAAGTCTCTGTGAAGTTTATATTATTTTGAGTTCAAACTAGGGTACGAGCTGAGCCCATTCATATGTAGGGTGTTTGAGATGTATATCAGCATGCAAGTATAAACATTCAATAAAATTTAAACTAAGCCAAAACACAACCTATTGGGCAGACCCCAAACACAAGTGTTTTGGGTGGACCCAAGACCTGGGTGGACCCAAAATAAGACTTGGGTGGATTCTAAGCATTCTTTACTCTTGGTGTCCCTGGAATGTCTCTGGGATCTGAATGACCT